AGCTTCTCCATCTGCACTCTCCGCATGCAGAAAAATAGGAGCCCTGCCCAGGGTTCCCCATGAACGGCACTCACCGCTCGGATGAAAGAGGTGACGTATTCAACTCCAGCCTCCTCCATGCTGCCTAGGGGCCGTCGTGGGATCCGCACACGGTACATTCCACCCTCTGTTGCCACTTCCTGGGGTTTGTGGAGAAGAGACGCATAAGGAGAAAGGAGGCACAAGGCGCCCAACTCCCCCAAACCCCACCCCAGCTAAAGGAACCATATCAAGGCTGCACAATCAAAACTCAATGGTACTGGAATACATTTGATTAGTTTTGCATGGCTTCTTTTGCTTTCAGATAGTAATTTGGAGCCTTTAAAAACATACAGAAGGAAATAATGGAAAGGTGAAGTATTTACAAACTTCTATCAGGAGAGACAGAAATTTGCTCCTTTTTTTAAAAAAAAAAGGTCCTTGGGATGCTACAATTCTGTTTCAGAGGCACAGCCGCCATAAAAAATGTAGCATAAACACCAACAACTGGGAAACACTGGCCTGAGAGCGCTCCAATTGGAAAACAGCCTTTACCAAGGTGTCATGGGCTTTGAAGAGGCTCGAACTCAGGATGAAAGGGAGAAACACGCTAAGATGAAGGCATGCTTGGCAAACCCTCACCGTGATCAACTCCCGCCCAGAAACCTATGACCCCATTGTGGAAGGATGTGTGGATCCAGAATTGGCCTCCACAGTCACTTACGGACTCACTGTTAAAACTGTGTTTATGGAAGACAATCTTACTTGACTACGAGCGATCATGAAAGAAGACGACACACTATCCTGCTGGTAGCTGGCAGGTGCATGGCACACAACACACACTCCAAGTGCAGCGTCACCAAAGTCCCCCTTCCATCCATGACTCACCCTCACTAGAAGAAAGTCGCCCTCTTTCAAAGTGCCCCTTAGCTAACTGAGACTGCTTCTCCTGGTGAAGGCAAGGCTTCTCCTCTTCCACCCACACTCACCCTGAGTTTGTTGCGCTCTTCCTCAGACAACTGCTTCTGGCTTAGTGAGAGGCTGGAGTCGGGGCCCACACTCCACAAGAGGGTGCCCCGCTTTTTGAACCGGATGCTGTCATCTGAAAGAGAAAGAAAATCCCACAGGGCCCTGGATCACGGTCAAACTCCAGTAGGACGAATCCCATGCCTCTTTCTATATATACCTCCTGACCAGCAAGGCCCAAATCTGGAGATCCCAAGAGTCTTAGTTCCAACTTGACCTCCCATCAGAAATCCACTGGTGCGACACATCTTTGTCCCTTTTCTCACCAGCAAGTCAGAGGTGGAATGCAAACAACAATCAAGCCAAGCCCATCTAGACCCCAGTGTAGCACAAAAAGAGAACAGGTGCGCGCAGAAGAGTTTACATAGGCAGTGACTGTTGAAGACTGAAACAAGAAATTGCTTGGTGGATTTTAAAATACGTATTTTTAAGGAACTTCTATTTTTGGAAGACAAACGTAGTCAAAAATTCTTGGGCGAAAGTAGGCACGTGAATGTGCTGGACAGCTGCAGATGGACTCTTCTTTAATCCTTTCTCAATGCAGCAGTTGCCCCAACTGAGGATAGGGGTGCTTCACTTCACCTTTCCCAGGAACTGGGAACAGAATAGAGGGGACAGGGCTTCCCATCCTCTCAGCTAGCCTGGGAAACTTACAGTGCTTTTGAGTGACAGTACTGCTGGGGGAAATGGAATGGACGAGGGCTAGGGTTTTGCAAGAGTGCATGGAAGAGGAAAGTTATGATTTATGCTTTCATGGACTAGAGCCCACATTCTGGAGAAGGCCTTCTCAAGCCTCACTCATCATACCCAAAGCAAAATCCATCTACAAAGTAATCTCTTCCCCTTCTGCTTCACATACAACATTAAGGTGACTTACACCCCACATCGCCTGTGGCAGGAGATAAAATCCAAGCCTGTATCTGGGAGGGGCACAACAGCAGCAGCAGCAGCAGCAGCAATGTGGGGTGCTTCATTTTTTAATGGATTCCCCCCCCCCCTGTTTCATAAGTTCATTAGTAATAGTGAACTGATGCCAACTGCAAATGCATCAGGCAAGCCTGGCAGTTTCAAAACTGTTAGCTATGCTTACAAGTAAAATAAGCATACTAAATCAAAACACTTTCTGGGATATCAGATTTCCCCCCAAAGTAAACTGAAAATTCCCCGATGCATATTACCACATGCAAATTAGGGAAAATCTCCCGAAAACCCACATTAATGAACAACATGCACCCTTCCTGAACCCAGTAGGGCCATCAGACCAGGAATCTCATAATAATTCTGCAATGCCAAGCACCCATTATCACAAAATATCCAAGGTGAGTCACATGCATACAACTGCACACAAACGAAAAGATCCCCGCATGTATACATTTATGAACACATGGAACGGACTCCCTCAGGTTGTTGTAGACTCTCCTTCCTCAGAGGTTTTTCAGCAGAGGTTGGATGGCCATCTGTCATGGATGCTTTAGTTGAGATTCCTGCATTGCAGGGGGTTGGGCTAGATGACCCTTGGGATCCCCTCCAACTCTACAATTCTATGATCATACAATATAGACATTCAGCTGAGCGTGTGTAGGTTGTGGATGAGCTTGATGCCATGAACCTTCACTCACCCTGGGTATGTTGCCCAATCAGGCTTCACAAACCCTTGGGTCCATTCCTACCCCATCAACTCACCCAACTCAAATGAATGCTCCAGCTGCAGGTTCAGTCCACAGGCCTCAGTGTCACGGGCCTCACCTGGCTGGAAGGAACAAAGGTAGATCAGAGAGTGATTCTGATATTCTTTTGGCTTCTGTTCCCATCCTCTGCTGTGCCCCTGTTCTTTCCCATTTCCCACATGTATAACTATTTAACAGGCCTGGCACCTACTTTCTTAAAGAGCACACTGTTGATTGCCATGAAGCAAATACAACAAAGCTTCTCTATTATTATTTTTTAATAAATTTTTATTGGTTTTCCAAACACAAAATAAACACAAACAATACACAATACACAAACATATAAACATGTATAATTTCATAACCTTATTTTCATACACCTTACTTCCCAGACTTCCCCATACCTCCCCTTTTCTGCATCCTTGTTTTACATTTCCTCAGCAACTCCTCCAGTTAACTAATTATTCAATTCATTTTCTTTTAAGTTCTTCTCTAACTTATTAATTACAGCTGCAATTCTCTATTTCCCAATTCCTTGACATTTTAACACTCCTCAATTTTACAACAATTTTTAAGATATATTTTGAATTTCTTCCAGTCTTCTTCCACTGTCTCTTTCCCCTGGTCACGGATTCTGCATGAAGCAAATACAACAAAGCTTCTCTATGCCAGTATACACAGCATGTCTTGCTTGGGAACAGACTCTCATAGATTTGGTGGCACACACTGATTACAAAATACTGATACTTTCATTCTGGGTGAAAACAATGGGCAATGCCAGAAAATGTAGATTTATGACATGTAAATACAACAAAATATTATAGTACCTAAAAGACTAACTGATTCTGACAAACTTTTTTAGACTAGAGCTCACTTCAGATGCATAAAATGCCACTTGAGACGTTATAGTGTGTATGCAACAGGTTTTCCACCCATTTTAAGTGACTTGCAACAAGTATGACACAGACTTTATTAGGTAAAAGTTGTGATAAGTGCAAAGAAAAACACCTCTCTAGCCCCACAGCAGCCAGTTCAAGTCACTGGAAATTCACCTGTCCCAACTTGGTGATGCCAACCACACCCTGTGGAACTCATGCTGGAGCAGTTGCCTCACTTCTAAGCAGGAGCTCATTATGACTGAAGAGGAGAAAGCGGACAAGAGAGGCTGTTTTCCTTCTTATAACACTCGAATCAGACACCCAAGTTTCTCAAGCCCTCCGACGAAGCTGAATGCTAGGACTTTCAGGACGGGCAAAACAATGTACTTCCTCAGAAGGAAAGCTAAAACCTGTGGAACTCACTGCCACAAGACACTGCAACAGTCCCAACCTGGCACAGATCCAAACGTGGGGCGGGGCTAGACAAATTCATGGGAGTTAAGGCTACTAGTCATTGTGGCTCTATGCTACCTCCAGAATCTGTCTGTACAGTGGTACCTTGGGTTAAGTACTTAATTCGTTCCAGAGGTCCGTTCTTAACCTGAAACTGTTCTTAACCTGAAGCACCACTGTACCTAATGGGGCCTCCTACTGCTGCTGCGCCGCCGGAGCATTTCTGTTCTCATCCTGAAGCAAAGTTCTTAACCCAAGGTACTATTTCTGGGTTAGCGGAGTCTGTAACCTGAAGCGTATGTAACCTGAAGCATATGTAACCCGAGGTACCTCTGTACATACGCTGTACACTGTAAAGCACCCCATGCTTTACAATGGGAACTGTAGTTTAAGGGTCTGTAAGTTAAGAAAACTACAGTTCCCAGAATTCTTTGGGGTGCGTGGAGGGGAAACGTGATTAAGCGAACGTGGTGCGTACGCAGCTCTGAGAGGGCCGCTGCCCCCGTGTCCTGCCCATGGGGCTTCTCAGTGGCCCCTGGCCGGCCGCCGTACGAAGCCAAAGGCAGGACTAAGCAGGCTTCTCCTCTGACCCGGCAGACGCTCTTGAATACTAATCAGCCGGTCTCCCGGCAGCCAATCCCCGCTCGGCCCTCATTGCATATTAATTACCCACCCCTCAGGAGACTCACTCTGAGGCCCGACTCCCCCCGGCAGCTCCCGGCTCCGGCGGCCCGGGCGAGGAACGGCGACGACACCAGGAGGAGGAGGGCGAGGAAAACCGGGAGGGAGCGGCTGGAAGGCCTTCCAGCGGCCCCCACGGCGGCCATTGCTCCCGTTTTCCCCCTGTCACGTGACGGAGCGGGCCGCAAGGCACTATGGGAGGAGGAGCAGGCGTGGGTTAACCGAGGCGTCTCGGCAAGGCGAAACGAGCCAATCGGAGGCCGCCGAAGGTTTGGCTCGCGCGCGCGTGCGCAGCGGCTGGACCTCCTCCCCTGAATGCTACCCGGTTTTAAAAAAAGGCGGGAAGCTTACTGGGTGGACGCAGAGCAGGTGGCGGCGGAGGGGAATCAGTCGCCTCCCAATGAATGTGCACTAGTTAGGCTGCGATCCTATTGACTTGAAGCCAGTGCCGGATTTACGTATAAGCTGTAAGCTATAGCTTAGGGCCCCACTCTCTTGGGGCAGCCCCCCCCAAAAAAATAAAGAAAAAAAATAGATGTACATTTCCAAAATATAAGATAAAAAACTAAATAAAATAAAACCTACATACAGCAACAGTGTTTTGTGTTGTGTAGGCTCCTCTGATGTAAGTCATGGGCCCCGCCTGCTAGCCTGCTCCCTAAAATACCACTGGTTTGCTCATTTCTAGATATAGGGTACCTACATTCTGCATGTGCAAATGGCTTTAGATACCTATTAGGTCCATCAGTTACCATATAGCATATATTCAACACACAAAAACAGCGACAACTTGTTGACAAAGGACAGCTGGACATATAAAGGGCCCCATTACCTTCAGTAGCTTAGGGCCTCGTCAAACCTAAATCAGGCCCTGCTTGAGGCAAATTCTTTTTTGGGGGGAGAAGAAAGAACAAAAGGGGGTTTTGTGCATCAACACGCTGCCTCCTCTACTGCCTTGCAGAACCACGAGCTCTTTATTACCCTCCGAATTTTTATTTTGCCCAACATTAGCCACTGATGATTGGGGAGCAGTCTGTGGTTTCCCCAATGGCTGGTCAAGCAGATGAAAATCAAGACAGAAGGGGCTGCTGTCTGTATTTCTGTTGCTTCTGTCCTTGCTCCATATGAATTTGGGCAATGCATAGCTGTCAACTTACAGATTTGAAAATAAGGGACCAGCAGCCTTGAAAATAAGGGATCAGCAGTCAAAATAAGGGATTTTTTGGGCACAGGTATGTTCAACTTCTGAGCCCCTCCGAGCCAAAGGCAGAAAGCCCAGCCAGCAGCCAAACAAAGCCTCAAGCGGTGGCTCCCACAGCGCAGCAACCCAGCAAAGGGGATGCAGCAAGGAAAACCACCGTCACCTCTCTGCTGGGAAGCGCTGAGCAAAGGCGAGTCCCCAGGCAACGCGGCCAATTTGATTGGCACAAGGCATGCAAGCTCCACCCCCCAGTCGTTTTTAGACTCCTTATTGGGTGAGCAACGCAGCCAAGCAACACAGTTGGAGCCTCCCTCCTCCCTGACCAGCAGGGAGGGAGGGAGAGGAGCTGCTTCCTTGAAACCTGGGAAATTTAAGGGACATCATCAATAAGGGACAGCAGTAGGACACAGCGCTGGGATAAGGGACTTTCCCGCCAAATAAGGGATGGTTGACAGCTATGGCAATGGCTGCATTTTTAGTGGTTTCAGAATCAGCTTTTCCACAAGTGTTCCTCCCTCCACTTCTCAACATCGCGGTATCTCACCATATTGTGATGTTTGGCTGGTGATACATTGCAATGTTGAAAAGCTGACGTTGTTTCCCAATTGTCTTTTGTGACCAGAATAGGATTTCTCTCCCCCCCCTTTTTTTTCCTTTTCTATAATTTTTATTAATTTTTCTGTTTCACATTTTAGAATATTCATTTAGACAACCTTAAAATATCAATGACTTCCCTTCTCTTTCCATGGTTCATTTTGCATAGCATAAATCCCTGCATATTTTACATAAACTAAACCATTCAGTGTTCCATTATTACATCCATCAAAACTCATCTACACTGTTGAATTTATCTTAATGCTGCTAACGTTTTCACAGCTGTACACAATTATTTCCCATATATTCAATAAACATTTTCCAATCTTCTTTAAACATATGTTCTTCTTGTTTTCTTATTCTATATGTTAAGTCTGCAAGCTGTGTAGTTTATTCCGTCAGTTTAAGCTACCATTCTTCTTTGATAGGGACCTTGCTCGTTTTCCATTTTTGGGCTAACAAAACACTGCAGTATTAGCATACATAAATAACCTTTATTGACACCTGGGAATTTCCGTCTGAATTATCCCCAACAAAAAGGACTCTGGTTTCTGTTTTGTTTTTTTTGGAAAAGTACCTTTAAACATTTTAAACATTAAAATAAAACACCAGAATAGGATTTCTTGGCACTTTCAGACTTTTCCCATGTCCTCCTCCTTCTCCAAACAGGTTCTAGGCTGCAGTAGCCCGGACCGCTTTTGTGCCCACTGGATGTCCCAAGTTTTGGAATGGGAGACCTGCAGAGGTGCCTAGCTACCGGGGAATATGGCTTGCTGAAGGATTGTCCCCTGTTTGAAAGCAATTTCATGCAGGTGAGTTCGGTACTTGACTCGCAGTGGAGGCTGCCCCATTAGAGCAAACTGCCCCGAGCAACCCAGGTCTGCCATCAGCCTAATACACCTGCCTGCCTTCATACTTAACAGCCAATGCAGTGCAAAGCGAATTAGTTGGTTCCGCCCAGTGTTGGCTTCCCTATTTTCCACCCCACCAAACACCACTGATATAACCCTGGCAAGCCCACTTGACTAAAACAAGCTTAGTCAGATGTGTTGCAGTTGGTTCATCAACTGATTCATCTTACATAAATATGTGTAGGATTGCAATACAGGCTGGGTGATGGCACTTTTCCTATCCCCAACATATTTTATGATCTTCCGGATTATAATAATGGGATTCTAAATACATAAAATTCATAAACACATCATGTGGTTTTTAAAAAAAGTTACTCTGAGAATAAGATGGAGAAAAGAAGGTGTGTAATAATTATAATATGCAGCAGTAATAGATAATTTGAGGAAACCACGGAAGGGTGGAAGGGAAGTTGATTACCAAGGGAAAGAATATTTGAAAATGTTTGACTAGTTGTCTTATATTTTTGGAGCTCATACCACCGCACACCCCATAGTCTCCTTTGACTGGACTTAACTGTCCAGGGGTCCTTTTACCTTATTTTTGGAAAATTTAGAAATAATTTTTTTTAAGCATCTGCATCACCCAGGAGATTGCAGCCGCAGAGATAAGAAAAGAAGATCCATTCTGTTGTCTGGAGAGGTCACTTCCTGGTTCGCACATAAAAATGTTGCACCCCCCAACAATTTTGCGCCCAGGGCAACCGTCCCTGTGTTCCCCCCTCCCCATACACATTACACCACTGGGTTTCCTCGACTGTGTTTTAGCTGGTACTAAGTGCTTGGGGAAATTCCCTGAAGTTTGGGAGGACCAGATGTCTCTTTTCCTTGCTTTTAATAGTCCTGATGTGAATGCCGTCCCAATATGTTCTTTAGCGACAGTTGCTGTGAATGCGTGAGAAAGGGAGTCTCTCTCTTCCCAGGTTACCAAGACAGGAGACATAGCCAACAGGGTCACTGTGGGCATTGCT